AAATTGATTGCTCGAGAAATCTATAGTTGTGAAAATTTCCAAAATCCTTACAAGCTCCACCTCAAACCCTTTCATTACTACCTTCACAGAATCCTCATAAATATAACCGCATACATTATCTAAGCATCCCGTATAGTAATCAATGTATTCAGATTTGACATTATCAGCTGGAACTACATCTCTCATACCTTTCAAAATTTTGAAATAGTTACTCGGTAGGAGACCCATAAAATCATTCTGTGCGACATCAATGATTCTTAACTGAGGGAAGTAAAATGCAGGCATAAAATTGCTAATGGCACCATGAAATCGATTAGATCGAAGGATGAGAACTTTTAGCGATGAAAGAACACCTAACCAATGTGGAAAGGTATCATTCAAGTTGTTGTTCCCCACATCTAGAATTTCCAAGATACTGCAATTAACCAAAGACCGTGGCAATATCCCCTCCAACCGGTTGCCATTTAGATGAAGGGTTTTCAACCCAATGCTTTTTCCAAAAAAATTTGGAATCCTACCATGGAACTTATTCATCCGCAGATCCAAGATGTTGAGAGCACTCAAGTTTCCAAGGCATTCTGGAATTTTTCCTCCCAACCTATTATTAGCTAAGACTAGAACTTCAAGATAAGTAAAATTACAATAAGAAGAAGGGATTTCGCCAGTCAAATTATTCCCTGAAATGAGGAGTTGTTGCATAGAATCCCAAGTTGTTGATAGAATGGGAAGTGATCCTTCTAGTAAGTTGGATCCAAGGTCAACAACTTCAAAATTTCCAAAACCAAATAAATCTATACCAGTCAAGAAGTTATAAGAAAGGTTTAATGTATTCAATGACATCCCTTCTATTTCCCATTTGTGAATTTGACCAGAAATCTTGTTCTTGGAAATATCCAATACTTCCAATTTCTCTGCCTTCCTTAAGAAACTTGGGAACTTGTGTATGTTGCAAGAAGATAATTTTAAAAACAAAAGGTTCGGAAAGGAATAGTTGACAGCAGTGCCATTATTGCTCAAAGACAGCAAACTATTATTGGAAAGATCAAGATCCTTAAGGTCTACAAGCTTCGAAAGCATGTCGGGTGTAATGGTGCCAGTTAAGTTATTTGAAGAAAGGTGGAGTGTAGTAAGATGCACAAGATCAAAGAAGAAGCTTGGAATTGAACCACTTATCTTGTTATTGGACAAATAGACTTCTTGTAAAATGAGGTTAGGCATCTCAACATGATCAATAGGTCTGGTAAGTCTATTGTTTCCGAGGCCTAAATAGGATAAAGAAGGCAGAGAAAACAACGAAGATGGTACACAACCTAATAGCTTATTTGATGATAGTGACAAAAAAGTAAGATAGGTGAGGTTAAAGATTGATGCAGGAATTTCACCACCAAAATTGTTTGCATCTAAGCTCAAATCAGTAAGCTTGTGCATTTTTCCAAAAACATCTGGTATTTGCCTTCGCAAATGGTTGAAAGAAAAATCTAGTTGAGTTATCTCTGTAAGATTTGCAAGAGATCTAGGAATTGATCCATAAAATTGGCAGTGATAAAGGTTCAATTCCTTTAGGAATTTAAGATTTCCAATTGAATGAGGCAACTCTCCTGAGAAGTTTGTGTTTGCAAGATTCAAATACTCGAGGGTACCACTCTGGTTTGACTCGGGCAGATTACCTCCTAAATCAAAGTTGTAGCTTAGATTAAGAAGCTGGAGAGATGGAAGCTGAAAAACTTGGTTAGGAAAGTTTCCTTGCAAATTACAATACTGAAGGCTCAAATGTTCTAAGGAGGAAGTCAAGTTTAGCAAGGAAGAAGGCACAACCAGAGACATGTTGACATAATCAAGGATAAGAAACCTTAATTCTGTTAAGTTATGCACAAGAGTTTGAAAATTTATGTTGTCAAGATGCAAACTAGGATTAACAGAGAGATCAAGTGAAACCAATTTCGTTAGCAAAAAAACTTGGTTTGGAAAGTTTCCTTGCAAATTACACTCGCTAAGGCTCAAATGCTCCAAGGAAGAAGTCAAGTTTAGCAAGGAAGAAGGCACAACCAGAGACATATTCACAGAATCAAGGATAAGAAACCTTAATTCTGTTAAGTTATGCACAAGCATTTGAAACTGTATGTTGTCAATAAACAAAAGATAATTATCAGAGAGATCAAGTGAAACCAATTTCGGTAGCAAGAAGATCTCATCAAACAGGAAAGAGCCATCCATGCATACTGAATCTGCAAGGTTAAAGATTTGTCACATCAGAAGAAGTGAAACCAGTTTTGGAAGCATGGAGATTTTAAACAAAAGAAAAAGCAATGAAATCCCGTACTTGAAAGATTAAGATATGTCAAACTCTTCCAACGGTCGAACCCAAATGAGATATTAGGATAATGAAACCAATTGTGAGAAACGTTGAGACTTTGCAATTTCTCAAGGCGGAAGAGACTACTATTTGTAGTTAGATTGGCTTCAAGACAATTACTGCTAAGATCAAGGCCAATCACGTGACCATTCCGCTTGTCGCATGCGATGCCTTCCCACGAGCAGCAGTCTTTACTCTCGTTCCAAGTTTGTATTATAGGACGAGGAGTATAAAACCAGTTGTCCACCAAATTAGTGGTGCTTTTGAAATCAAGCAATGCAGAACGCTCTTCAGGACGGCACAAATGTGGTGATGAATCGAGAGAAGATTGAGAAGGTGATGAGCTTTGGACTCGAAACTGTAACAACATGAAGGAAAGGCAGAGGATTTGGGAAAACCATATTAAGCTTCCCATTTTCTTAAAGATGAACACAATTCACCAAACAAAGGAGTGATGGATTATTCAAAATTGAAGGGCTGGATCCCAGTATTTATAGTCTTTACTAAAGTACAAAATAAATACATAATAAAATTTTAAAAATCTTAAATAAATACCAAAACATAAATGATCTCACGTTTCAATTAAAATAGTATACTAATCGTTGGATTTGAGGAGCCATGCGCAGAGCGTAAAAAATCAAATATTTTAAAAGTAAATATGGGCTTTTTGAATCCATTATATTATTGTTTT